CAGATTATAATCCATTTAGAGGGACACAAAATCAATTTAGTGAGTCAAGCATTAAACACATGGAAGAAATAGCAAACATGTGAATGCATCAAAAGTAATAAGGTTTTCAGTATTATTTTTGAAACTTTTGTTTTGGTCATATCTTTCTCTGTGTACTAGATTGTGTTGTAAAATACATTTCTCTGGGTTGTATTGGAAGTTTGAAACTCAGTGGACTAACAAGTAACACGCCCCAAATCTATAATGTTTGTTGACGTCTGCTCTTGTGTACCTTCATGAAAGTGTCTTGCTCCCTTGAAGTGATGTGGGGGCTAAAAGAGTTCCATACCATTGGAGATAGTGGGCTATTGAGCCCCCATAAATTCTAGTAACTGCCTTTTGTCTAATAACGATGAAGATTATTGAGTACTATTTTGATGTCTTTTAAGCATCAACTGAAATCTATAGATTGGAAATGGAGTAAACAAGAGGAAGGTTAGTTAGTTTACTCATTCAAACAAGAGGAAGGTTAGTTAGTTTACTCATTATTTGACAATAGCTTCTTAGAATAGTTAATATTTTGGATACTCATATTACTAAGGTGTATCAGAGTTTTTTTCCTTTAATATTATACTTTTAAAATACTTGTGATATTCTTTACTGTCATTCATTGAACAGAGTTTTGTTGTGTGTTTTCTCTATGTGAATACATTTTTATAGCAGTGGAGAAAAGTGTGTTTTAGTTGTGGAAACTTTACCAAAACTACTGTTCTGTTAAGTAAGGGCTAGAAATACACCATCTCCCTATCCCCCTCTTTCCCAGACACAGGCATCATTTATTTTGTGATTGTATTATTCTTGTGTTTCCTTTTCTGGATAAAGAAATAGAAGAACAGATTGGCAAAATAATTTGCCTGCAGTTGTACAATAAGCTAGTGACCTTCATAGATGATCATCATAGTTCTTGTATTTGCAGAGGCACAATACATAGATTAAGTTGAAATAAATAGAAGCCTAAGAATTGTAATTATAAATATGCAGGTATATGTAGATTATAAAAAAGTATTGCCATAAACTAAAAGACATGGTGGGAAGTAGTAATTACATTAAGTTCTTGTGCCATCTCTATCTAGATGTTTGTTTGTAGTCATGACCTAGCTATACAATTTTAGTTTGTTATGAATGTTACCATATATCCAAAATATGGTAAATCATGAAAATAATTACCAAGACATAAATTGTGAAAAGAAAACTCTTGAGATGCTACTGAATTGTAATGTGTTAAATGATCTTCTGCCCATGAACACTGAGAATCAAGAATTGAAAGAGTCCTGAATGCTGGTCAGAAGACATGGGTTCCTAGGTTCCATCCTGCCACAAGTGTGTCTGTATTAGTTTAGATACGCCATTTTACTTTAGAGCCTCTGTTTGTGAAATGAAAATGTTGGACTTGGTCTCCTAGGTTCCCTTCAGCTCTTAGATTTTATGCTTCCCAAGGGCTGGAGTCTTGCATCAGGGACCAACCTGGGGGTTGTACTATTTTCAAGGCCCAAAGGAATGGTCTCATTCTTTTTTCCAAGGAGATAGGATATATTAGCCCACAGAGCCCAATAATGCTGTGAGCATCAGTATTGTGAGGTGCCTCTTCACTGGGGACTGAGCCTAGATTGTTTGTGGTAACCTTGAAGGACCTTAAAATAATGCCAGGGGAAGTCATTTCTGTGACCAACTAGTTGCCTACTTGGAAACTTGTCAGCACCCATCCACCTATATTGTCATTCTGTCTCTGGAGTTATAGCATTTAGAGCTAATTCTCCTCTTAAAGTATCCCCTTTGAATTCAAGGATTTTTACCATCTTCTTAAGAGTCAAAGCAGTTACCAAGAAAATATATTCTTGCTGAGTGCAGTTTAATAAATGTTAGTGAGGAATGTTTTTATATTAATTTTAAGGCTTTTAAAAATTAGTTTGCATTGACTAGTTCTTTGCTGTCTCCCTAATACTGGTTATATTACTTTTTTGTCCAGTGCTGTGAAGAGTTGGTAATATCTACAGTCAACTTTTGACATTGGTAACCTCTGTTTTCTGGGTGAATTAGGAATTAGTATCACCAGAAGAACAGCTAATCTGAGTGATTTTTCTTCTATTATCCCATTCATATGGACTGTTTAACATCTGACTTGACCACAGCTTTAACACTAGAAGATTCTTTATAATGATGGAAATCATGACATACCTTTGATGATAGACTTTTGTGGTCTTTCCTAGGTTTTGATTGGTACTGCCACTGCTTTGGATTGAAGTTGTTGGTGCAACAGTAGACTCTGGGGAATGGTCACCAAGAACTATTGTGGAGGCGGGGGAGTGGGTTGTAGATAAGCTGTCTCCATGGATAGCCCTCTAGGGAACTCAGTACTTGCCTAATGTTAATTGCCTTACACCACAGTCTAATTACTAAGTGTATAGTCTTAGTCCATTTGGGTTGCTGAAACAAAATGTCATAAACTGGGTGGCATATAAACAACAGAAACATGTCTGATGAGGCCCACCTCCTGGAAAGTAGCCCTCACGAAGTGGTTTGTGGAAGGTGTTTTCTCACTGTGGCCTCATGGTGGAAGGGGCAAATTTGCTCTGTGGGGGTCTCTTTTATTAGGGTACTAATCCTATTCATGACGGCACCTCAACATATGAATTTTGGAGAGACATCAACATTCAGTCTATTGCAGATATAAATGTTTTCAACAAACATTTGTTGAGTACCTTTCCTCTTTCTAAGCCTTCATGACCCTACTAGGACATTGCATGTGGCTATCAGTAGGACTATAACTCAAACCAATATCATCTTTTCCTACCTTCTTCACTTTGCCTTCCTCTTCTAGTCTTATCATGGTTAATGGTGATGCTGCTTAACTGGTCTCTCAAACTTGAATTTGAAAATTTTGAATTATCAGTACTCATTGCCCCAAAAATTACTCTCATCCTTAATAGTCCATGCCTTTTGTTTTGTTTTATTGTTGTTGTTTGTAATTTACTTTTTTTTACTCAATATTCTGGAAATTTTTCCAAGTAGTTCATGTACAGCTGTCTTTTTTATGATTCCTAGTATGGGTACATAAACTGTGTATTATAGCTTATTTAACCATTTTTCTATGGGTAGACATTTACTTTATATGAATTTTTTCTTTTGCTATTACAGGGACTGCCAAAATGAATATCCCTGAACATGTCTCTTTGTGCAAGTATGTAGATGTCACAAAGTGGAATTGCTGGACCAAAATTAATATACATTTAAAATGTTAATAGATGCCAACAAACTGCTTTATAAAAAGTGCCTATTGATTTTACTACTCTCCATACTTTTCTTTCTTCCAAGCCTGTTTTTAATATGGGCCTAGTGTACTTCTCTTAACCTTGGTTCTCTGATTGAAGTGTTCACTCATTTACTTCGGCACTGTCAGCCTCTGTCTGCTTGTATTTAGTAGATTGTGTGCCAGGCACTCTGCCATGTTTTGAGAACTTAGCACTGTATATGACAGGTGTGGTCCCTGTCATCATGTGACTTATGCTTTTACCACATAGAACCTGCCTAGACTCTTTATGCATTTGCAGCTACTAAGCTCTCTTCCAGGTGTGACTTTTTATTTTAACTTTTCTATCTAGAGAATTTTCTTTCGCCCTTTTAACTAGCTTAAATTTTATCCTTTGTCATTGTCATTATCTTCTCAGAGTTAGATAGGCCCTCATCACTGCTCTCTCTCAGCATGCACATCCTTTTTGTAGCTATTCCCCTGAGAGTTTTAAATTCTCATTTATATAGATAAGTGCCTGTATATGTGTATCTAGACACATGTACATTTCTGTCATTAGACTGTAAGCTCAGTAAGGGCAAATAACTATGATGTTTACCCAAATGCTTCCAAGCTCGATGCCTTAAGCACTGGAGATGCTTGATTAAGGTTGAATACATGAATAATAAACTATAAAATGACATTTTGTATATGACACTGTAGGGTATTTAAATATGAATGAGAACTGGTCTATCTTCAAGGGCCTAACTATGTAGTCAGGGAGATAAGAAACAGATGAGTAGACTGCCAGGCAGGTTGTGATAAGCTCTGTATGGGACTTATCACAAATGAAGATTGGAAGGGAATTGCAAGGGAGAGATGAATGAGATACTCTGGTAAAGTTTATTTATGACAGGATTTTTTTTTTCTTGCTTGTACCAGGTGTTGTGAGGGCTACACATGATAATAAGATATGGTTGCTGACTTTAAGAAATTTATAGTCAAGTAGGGCCAGAGCAGGGATTGGTAAACTGTGGCCTAGAGGCCAGATATGGCCCTCTGCCTATTTTTGTATTGTCCTTGAGCTAAGAATAATTTTTACTTTTTAAAAAATTGTTAAAGAATATTTGTGACGTGAAAATTACATGGAATTCAAATTTCAGTGTTCATAATTAAATTGTGTTAGAACACAGCCATATTCATTTGCACTATCTGAGACTGCATTTGCACTACAGCAACGAGTTGAGTAATTGTAAAAGAGAACCTTTGGTTCACAACACTTAAAATATAAAATAATTTAATATATAGCTCATTATGGAACCAGTTTGGTGACCATTGGGTTAGAGAAGGGGAAAGATTAAAATAAAGTAAAGAAAAAGAAGTGACATTCATATTGAGAGGATTAGTTTGAGTTAAAAGAGTGGGACAGGGATACTGGCAGTCACAGAGAAGCTTTAGAGCTGAAATGATGATCTGGCTTAACCTTATTGTACAAAACAGGCAGAAGATAAAAAAAAAATCTTGTCAAAGTCCACATGGCTCATAAGTGGCAGTGTTATACTGGAATGACTGGTGTAGAAGCTTTGCGTGCGTAGAAGATGATAAGATTATTGCTGAGGTAGAGCAAGATTGGGAATGACCTTGCCCTTGAAAAATGAGAGTTGCAGAACAAACTAAGATAGACTGCCTTTCTCTCTCTAAATGTGATGTTTCTATTTTTCTCTTGTATTTCTAGAAGGCCTTTGAGCCCTACTTAGAGATTTTGGAAGTATATTCCACGAAAGCCAAGAATTATGTAAATGGGCATTGCACCAAATATGAGCCCTGGCAGCTAATTGCATGGAGTGTCATGTGGACCCTGCTGATAGTCTGGGTATATGAATTTATCTTCCAACCAGAGAGTAAGTATATTGTCCCCTCTGTAAAGGTATTGTGGAGTGTCACTAGACTTGCAACTCAGTGCTCACTGGTTGGGCTAATTTCTTGCCTTTTGATTTGGTTCTCGTTTATAAAATCTGTTTAAATGGAAAGTGGTACATTGTCTTCTGATTGGTAAAGTTATAATAGCACATTTACGCAATTGTTACTGCATATGTAGTTTTTTGTGGTTTTTTTTTTTTGGATTTGTAGTTTATGTAAAAACTCCTCAGAAATCAGTCATTGTAAGGCTCCACAGATAATTTAAAGTGTGGCTTAACGATACCAGTTTCTTCCCTAGAATATAATTGTATCACCTGGAGTTCCCAGAGCAGGAACTTATTTTTTTCATTTTGGGTTATTCTTTTCGATAAAGATTAGGTGAAATTGGAACAGTACTTACTAAGGCGGATGGATGCCTGTTATGTTCCAGTCATTGTGCTAGGCTCTGGGGATATCTGGTACAATTGGTACAGGTCCCTATGCTCTTGGAGTTGAACATTGCCCTTTGAACTTCCTGTTAGTGACTCAGAACCAGCTCGGTTCGGGAGAGAAGGAGACCACTTCTCAGAGTGCAGAAGATGAGAGTCTCTTAGTGATCTAATTGTAAATTCTACACCTTCCTCAGGTTTCAACCCCTCTCCTGCTTATCTGCCTTTCCCCACCTAGAAACCTGATGGCATGGGACCTTCTTGTGAATTATTTTCCCCCTGCAAGATGTGCTTGGTAGGTTTAGTTTGCCTCTACATACAAATAGCAGGTTTGGAGATGCGTGTTCTGTAGCACTCCCTTGTACCCCTTCCTACTTGTAGTAGAGTGTCTGAGTTATCTTCCTTGGAGTAGAATCCATTATCATTGAAGGTAATCATTTGCTGATTCTCATTTGAGATTTCCCCAACAGTTTACTTCCCTGATAACATCTGCTTGAGGGGGCTCTTGAACTGTACTCTTACTGCTTTTCTTTCTCTTCCCTCAGGGAAGTCAGTTTAGAAGCCAGATTCCATTTTTATCTCTTTACCCTGCAGATGGCTTTTGAGTCATTTATGGCACAGTCAACATTACAAAACATGACAGCCAAGAAGCAAGTATCACTGCCTAGAGTTTTTTAATTAAAGTGGAAATGACACATGACTCTCCTGTCTAAAATGTTTAGTTTAGTTGCTGCTCCTAGTCCTTGCAAGATTTTCTCATAAACTCTAACAAACAGGACAGGCCGGCTCTTCTGTAGCATCTGCTCAGTCAGTGGTTTGGATATGGATGCAACCTGCATAGTTCTACTCAGGCCTATTCCTTTCCGGGAAGCTTTCAGTGAGCTCAGGGGCCCACTTAAGAGGACTCCAAGGAACAATACATGAACTTTTCTTTCTTTCATTCTTTTTATTGTGATAACATATATAACATATTTATTATCTTAACCATTTTTCAGTGTGGAATTCGTGACATTAAATACATTCACATTGCTATGCAACCATTATTACCATCTATCCCCAGAACTTTTTCATCATTTCAAACTGAAATTGCAATTTAATGAACATTAAGTAGGAATTCCTCATTACCCTCTCCTCCTGACTGCCTGGCAACCACCATTCTGTGTACTTTTCTTTTTAAGGTGATACATTTGTGAAACCAGATTAAGGCTAGAGACCTTGAAATTTATATTATATTTCTTAGCTATGATTAGTATTAACCTGGTATTAATTACTTATTAAAACAAATGTTAAACTTCTTTTAATTGACAAAAAGTACATATTTATCATGTATGACATGTTTTTAAATATGTATACACTGTAGAATGACTAAATAGAGTTAATTAATATACATTATCTTACATATTTTTCTTTTCTCACCCCCCCCTTTTTTAAATTTTGCGTATCATTCTGTTGCCCAGGCTGGAGTGCGGTGGCATGCTCATGGCCATGCTGCCTTGATTTGCTGGGCTCAGGTGATCCTTGTGCTTCAGTCTTCCAAATGGCTGGAACCACGGGTGCATACCACCATGCCCAGATAATTTTTTTTAAATTTATTGTAGTGACGAGGTCTTGCCAAATTGCCCAGGCTGGTCTTGAACCCCTGGGCTCAGGCAGTCCTTTCACCTCTGCCTCCCAAAGTGCTGAGATTATAGGTGCGAGCCACCACGCCTGGCCATTTTTCTTTTTCTTTTTATGGTTAGGTATTTATTTCTATTAGGTACATAAATTTTTTGGTGATTAGTTATGTACTTCTATTTTTTTGTGGTTAGGAATTTACTTCTATTTTCTGCTATGAATTTTGCTTAACTGGCAAACTACTAAAGATATAGTCATCTTAGATCCTGGTACTTACCTGCTTTCAGTGTCCAAAAAGGAATATGCTGGCCTCTTGAGCATTTGTGAAAAAATTATTTGTAGCAGTATTATTATTATTTTTTTCAGAGACAGAGTTACCTAGGCTGGAGTGCAGTGGCTCGATCATAGCTCACTGTAGTCTCGAACTCCTGGCCTTAAAGATCCTCCCACCTTGGCCTCCCAAAGTGCTGGGATTATAGGCATTAACCACTGTGCCTGGCCAGCAGCAGTATATTAATGAGTTATGTCATCTACATCTTTGTGGGCTGAGCTCCAAGCCATTTGACTTCTTTTATTTATATATAACTACAAAAGCAGTACATATTCACTCTAGAAAATTTGGACAATATGAATAAGGCACAAGAACAAAATTAAAATCTTGATACTGAAGGATACAACTGTTTATCTCTGTTTCTATATCTGAATCAGTTTGAACCTTATAAAATTTTTTGTACGGGCTTGGTGGCTCAGCCTGTAATCCCACGCTTTGGGAGGCTGAGATAAGTGGATCGCCTGAGCCCGCTGGTTCGAGACCCGCCTGGGCAACTTGGTGAGACCTCATCTCTACAATAAATCAAAAATTAGCTGGGTGTGGTAGCGCACGCCTGTAGTTCCAGCTGCTTGGAAGGCTGAGGCAGAAGAATTGCCGGAGCCCAGCAGGTTGAGGCTGCGGTGGCCAGGAGCAGCCACTGCACTCCAGTCTGGGTGACAGAGTGAGACTCCAACTCAAAACAAAAAAAAAATTATTTTTGTAGGCCAAAAGCTATTGAATATTGACAGTTTTGTACAGTTTAACACACATACACACACACAACATACTTTTTATTTTGTAACTTCCAACTTGAATTTCAGGCATAGATAAGAATATCTTCCCTCTGGGACTCAGGGATAATTTTGAAAGAATTATGATTTTTTTTTTTTTATAGCACCTTACCCAGGTAGAAGTTTGCTATGTATTGCTGAACAATCAAGATACTTTTAGTATATTGTGCTAGAGGAGTCTGAAGTCTGAACTAGTGATAAATTTTGCTGATCTTCAAACTCTGAGTCTTCTTCTGAGGGGAGAGGGTAGTTCTGGAATAAAGGATGGAGACTGTAGAGGAGAACTGGAAGCAGCATGAGCTAGGCAGGGGTTAGCGGCTCCCCAGGGTGTTCTCTCTTCCTTAATTCTGCTCCGTGTTTATCAGCTGATAGCATACTCCTTTTACTGTGATACTGATTTTGACTGTGGTTTGTCCATAGGTCATCAGCAGAAATCAGCTTTAGGTGGTGGGGAGAGATGATATACTCTCAATTTCCTGCTGTGCCACCTTAGAAAACACCCTTAAGCTCTCTTAACCTATTTCCTCACAATAAAATGGGTAAAACACCCGCCTTACTTAGTCACAGGGGTAATATGAGCATGAGTGCAATCATTCACATGAAAGGAATTTGTCAACTATCTATCGCCATGCATTGTTGTTCTGACATTGGCATTTCCTCTTTTGTTATCTTGAAATTTTCTTTTTTTATTCCTTTTTAATTGACAAAAATTGTATATGTTTACGGTATACAACATGATGTTTTGTTATGTGTTTGTGTTGTATAATGACTAAATCAAACTAATTTAAAAACACATGCATTACCTCACATTACCATTTTTTGTGATAAGAACCATTAAAATCTGTCTTAGCAATTTTTAAGTATATAATATATTGTTATTTACTGTATTTACCATAATCTCTTGAACTTATTCCTCCCATCTAATTGCAGTTTTGTATCCTTTGATCAGTATTGCCCCAGTCTTTCTCTCCTTTACCCCCATACCTTGGTAGCCACCACTAAAAAATTCTAATTACTTTTTTTCTGTACCTATGGGAACTTTTACTTTTGTGATAATCTTTTAAGGTTAGCTATATGATCTTAAGGTTAACTATATGATCTTTTCATTTTAATTTCTTAATCTCTGATTCTGTGTTCTGTTCTTTTCACCCTGTTTTTTTCTCAGAACTTTCACAAAATTGATCTATTATTTTATCCTCTACCTAGTCATGTTATGAAACTTTTGGACAGCTAGCTCAGTTTGCTGATTTTTAGACCTCTTTTCACCTCATTAATTACTTCATCCATTAAATAAGGAAGCAATTCTGTATCTTTACAGCTTTAACATTGTTAGAGACAATTGAATAAAAAGCAGCTGAAATATCCAACATTAGTTTATAGTTATTTGATGGACTGTTATGATAACATTAACTCTTTCCACTTGAAGACATCTTGTGGATCACCTACCAGCAATCCTACTGCACTTTTTTAACAAAATAAAGAAAAACGAATCATTGTATATTATATATATAGTATTGGAACCAATTATTTTATTGTAATGATATTTGGCTTATAATGGAATTTTGCACATTGAGGAACTTGTTTATGGCAAAAAAAATCGAAATTTTATGTCTTACATTTTTCTAACATGTGGTAACATGTATATCAGTCACCAGCATGCACTACAGGTTCATGTTGTACACTAGTAATTTGTTTGACATCTTTCATCGGGTGTTTTTCTATTCCAGCAGATAATGCAGTCTTGTTTTCGTCTTCCCACCTTAATATGTAACTTATTGTCCAGTCTGTTGTTTGAAGACGATGTGAAAGGACGCACTTGTGATTCCTGAAAATCACTTCTTAACTGATTGATCAGAAGCTTGACAGATTTCAAGTGGGACATAGATTTTTCATTGTTTTTGAGTGGAAAACTTCATGGAAACATTTTTGAAAAATTTGTACTTGCATAAGTTTGTCCTGTATAATCACCAGCAATCTCTTTATGTCCTCTGAGAGGGGACATCCGAGTGTTTGCTAGATTTACAATGTCCCCTCCAGGGGAAATCAGAGTACAAAGGGTTAAAAATATGTTTAGGAAGAATTTTTAATAATCTAGAAAATGCTGTAAGAAGAGGATACAGTTATTTTGCATAAAACAGGATATCAACTGTGTATTACATGTGTAAAACATAGGGCTGGAAGGAAGTACTGTAAAACTTAAACAAAAAAGTAACCACAAGCAAGTGGTTTCAGTCCCTTTGTCTTATTGTTCAGTCTATATCTTAGCCACCCGGTTTTTGTCCCAAGCATTTACAGAATATTTTCTTTAGGGTGAGGTAGGTCGAGAGGGATACAGTCTAAGCAAAAACGACCAGCAAAGATGCAAGGTATCATACCAGTAATAAACATGATGAGAGGGTGCAGACATATCTTGTGGTTGTTGAGTGGGAGCTCCTTCTGGCAGGAAAGTTAGATACCCAGGAATGCAGTCAGGGTTCATCTTCAGTTCTGCTTTGGATGAAAGCTAGGTCTAGATTCTTACAGACTCATTTGGGACAACAGAAAATTCCTACTGTGCATTCGAAGCATTGTGAAGTCCTGGGAGTCCTGGACTGAAAAAATGAAGACTTGAGTTGAATCTCTACTCTATCACTGACTTGATCTGTGGCCTTGAGCAAGTTTCGATGCTCTGATCTTCTGTTGCCTTTTAGCCACTCATAGATAGTATATAATGCCTTCTGTGTCAACCTCAGAATATTCTTGTCAGTTAAGATATATTGAATGTGAATGAATTAGAAGGCATATCAGTCTATGTAGGGGTCATAATTTATAATTATTGCAATCAACAGGATTGGAATTCTCTATTTGTCCTATTACTACCTGACAGAATGGACTCTGATTGGCATCCATGATTTTGAAGGTCTTTTTAGGTCCAGAAAATGTTGCTAGAATCTGTGTCGGATGAGTGACTAGAGCATAGATCCTGAAAAAAACAAAAATAAAAAAACTATTGGTTGGCCATTTGTTTTGAGGGACGGAAAGGTTGGGTACCTGAAAAACTTTGAAAGGTCAAAACTTTAGAATACATATGTCATTTGACCCACAATTCTGTATCAGGGAATTTATGCTGCAGGCATATTTGTATGTATGCAGTATGGTATATGTTATAAGGGCATTTATTTCAGCATGGCTTATAATAATAGCAAATATCACATGTCTGTCAGTATATGGAGGCAGATTAATATGATATAAACATATAATGGAATACTCTGCAGCTATAAAAATGAATGAAGCACTGATCTGGAAAAAAAAGGTCTAGGACAGTGCTAGAGTATATTAACATTTGTGTAAAAAAGGGGAACAAGAATATATGCAGAAAGAAACTCTGGAAGGATATACCAGAAACTAATGGTATTTACCTAGGGGTAGGATGAGGGTCGAGGTGAGAGAGAGGAAAACTTTTTACTGTGTACGTGTTTATTTTAAATTTTGAACCACGTTAAATATATTACTTATTTAAAAATTTAAATTTAAAAGTTTTTGATTTTCAAAAGAAACTCTACCTTTGCAATCTAAAGACAAGCGAAGTTGTGGGGAATACATTGAATAGTTGCTACATTAGGACCAACAGGTCATATCTATGGAAGTTCATTTCAATAATAGAACCGTTTGTTTCTTTTAGGTTTATGGTCCAGGTTTAAAAAGAAATTTTTTAAGCTTAGTAGGAAGATGCCTTTTGTTGGTCGAAAGGTAAGTGGAATCTGTAGAGTAAACTAGTGAAATATTTTTCCACTCTTGATAATCATACTTCTTTCTTTCTAGTTACTGACCCTAATATTCTCAAGTGGAAGGGATGATTTTGTCCCCCATTTCCAGGGGACATTTGACAGTGTTTGAGATAAATTTTGGCTGTCACAACTCGAGTGGAGTGCTGTGGGCATCTGGTGGATGGTGGCCAGGGATGCTGCTAAACATCCTGCAGTGTAAAGGACAGCTCTTGCTACCAGAGAATTATCTGGCTCAAAGTCCAAAGGGCCAGGGTTGAGAAACCCTCACTTAATCCTTTCTCCAGTCTATTTGGCTAAAAGAGAGATGAGAAACCTGTTGAGGAAGAGAATTTGAAATGAGAAAACCTGACTGAAGTGCTATGGTGCTTTGGAGCAATGTTTGGCTGGCTGAATTTAGATATTTATCTAGGAGTTGGGTGCTTACATGTCTTAGGTCAGGGGTTGGCAGACTTTCTGTAAGGGGTAGCTAGGAAACATTTTGTGCTCTGCGGGCTATACCACATCTGTTGCAACTCCTCACCTCTGCCCTGCAGAGGGAAAGCAGCAAGAGGAAGACAGGTTAAAGAAACTCTCTTCATGAACACAAGTAGGCCATATTTGGCTCCTGGCTGTAGTTTGTGGGCCCCAGGTTTAAAAACTTAAAAGAGATAACAAAGCTATCTCTTGCTCTCTGCACCTATTTGTAGCATAGTATGACCCCTTCATTTTATCTTTTCTACCTTCTCCCACACTGAGGATAAGGTAGTCACCTCTGTACCCTTCCTGCAGGTTCTTTATCACAGATGAAGATAAACTGAGCAGGCCCCTTTGCAAGCTCTGAGAAGGGCAGATGAGACATTGATGTCTTCCTTTCCTCCAGTACCCTGCCCTGACCCTCAGCTCTCCTTTAGGCTTTCCCAACTTTATCTGCCTTCAAGTTTTCTTTCACTTTTAGCTTCCAGATCCCTTTTCACTTTCCTGGCCAAACCAGAAAAGATGCCAATTATCTTTAGCCTTTGTCTGAAATCCATTCAGACTACTGTACTAACTCTCCCAGAAATACAGGTTTATTTCCTGTAGGGAAGTAGAAGCAGTAACGGGGTTGTGAAGGGAAATGAGAGTAGATAGACTTCTGTTTGCTCCCCAGATATAAAGGGTGGAGGCGGGAAAGATATTACAGAGGATGGACTAAAGCACACAGAACAACAGGGTTGTCTCTTACTGTTTCTTGCATTTTTTTTCTGTCCTTATTCTTCTTACTTTTCTCTGTTAACTTCCAGATTTTGAAACAAGTAAATGCTAGTGGTCCATTTCTTCATTTTTTTTTTTTAGGTTTTTAATTTTTATTTACTTTTTGAAAGTCATTAAAAAATTTTTGTTTTATTTTGTATTATTCTTAAATGTATAAAATAACAGAATTAGAAGATCCTTAGCAACTATCTAGTCACCCTCCATTTTTCAGAAGTAGATTCTGAGACTTAGAGACAAAAAGTTAATATTAGTTATGTATGTACATGCATACGTGTGCATGTGCACCCTTCTTTCATTTACTCACTTGCATTCACTTATTCAGTGCATGTTTATTGGTCACCTGCTCAGTGTTAGGAACTTTTCTAGGTGCAGGTGTACCGTGGTGAACAAGACCAAGTCCTTCCTCTCATGGAACTTATATTTTCGTAAGGAAGACAGAAAATAAGCAAGTGAACAAGTACATGAAAATTTCATTTTGGAAAAAACAAACTCATTTTGCTATGAAGAAGTTAAAATTGATTAATGTGATACAGGCTCAGAAGCAAGATAGGGGATGAGAAAGTACTTGATGTGCTTTCTAATATGCCTCTCGTTGTCTTTTTTATTTTATTACAACAGCATAATCTATGCATGTAAGCTTAGCTTCCATATTTTATACTGGTCACTTGGTCACCATTTATGGGGTATAATTTTCTATGTACTACATAAAAAATATATCTATGTCCATAGCATGTCCTGGCATTGCCCAGGACTGTGGCCTCTGATCCCTGCCAGTGCTGTCCTGTTAGACTACTACAGATGTGTTTTAAAAGAGTAGCTTTCCCTATGTTAGTTGAGGGCCATATCTAAGAAGATGCTTTTGTATTCTAATCATCTACAGCTAGAGGTGAGAACATCTAAATAGTATGGAGTGAGATCTTGGGCATCAGACTTCAACAAATACATTGCTGAAACCATAGCAGTGTATCATGCACAAATTGTGACATGTAGCCTCTCTCCTCAAATCTACCACCCAAGCGTCTCTTACCATAAAAAGCAGCTCTGGCATTCTGCCTTTTTCCTGTGCTCTTTATTTTGTTCCCACCACTCTTCATTGTCTTACTTTTACTTTCTGTCCCATTAAAAATAAACTTCATAACAACAGGAATGTTTTTACTGTGTACCCCATTTCCTAAGTTTGTTTTGTTCACTATGTATCCCTAGACTACAGTAGTTGTTTAACAGATATTTGTTGAGTAAGCGAGTGAATGAACAACAACAAAAGGCTCAGAAGCTGTGGCTATGAGGATGAAAGGAAACAACCATAGTTGATAAATTGCATAGCAGAAAGTTCCTCCTAGCATTTTAGGGTCAGATGGTGCAAGCTGTCAACAGCAGCTTAAGGAGTTATGATCGGTCCCTGGCAGTTTTTAGATTGCTTTGTGCTTATATGTGGGGAATTGTATGCCTCCAAATTCCTGGTGCTCTGTGCATGACTGTTGAAGGAGCTTCTTACTTGCACAGGGACCAGAATCCCTTTACTGCAGCATGGCTGATTTTCTGGCTACTGTTCATGGTTCTTCCTTTGACTCTTTTGCACACACTGCAGCTGCTGCCAAGGCGGGATCAAAGTCCAAATATTGCCCTCAAAGAAGTGCTGACTTTAGCAAATACAAATGAAGTAGCAATGATGTCAGCATGACAGAGAAACAGGGCATGGGGACACTGAATGCATTTTTGACCTTTAGAGAGGAGGTTGGCTTTTCAAACTTTTGTTTTTGTTTTTGTTTTTTGAGTTGGAGTCTCTTACTCTGTCGCCCAGACTGGAGTGCAGTGGCACGCTCCTGGCCACCGCAGCCTCGACCTGCTGGGCTCTGGCGATCCTTCCGCCTCAGCCTTCCAAGTAGCTGGAACTACAGGCGTGCGCTACCACGCCCGGCTAATTTTTTGATTTATTGTAGAGATGAGGTCTCGCCAAGTTGCCCAGGTGGGTCTCGAACCTGCGGGCTCAGGCAATTCACTCACCTCGGCCTCCCAAAGCGCAGGATTATGGGCTGAGCCACCAAGCCCGGCCAACTTTTCAAACTTTTAAGAGACTCTTGCATATGTCAAAAAATTAGCAGAATAGTCAAAATATCACCTCATCTCTTAAAAAAAAATATCATTCTGGTTTAGTAGTAGCACCTGTACAATACCCAGCATTGAGCAGCTGACTGAATGTTGTAACTGGTTTTTCTCTCTCTACTGTATTCTTACATCTTGTTAACTTTGTCTTTCTTACCTTTGCAGGTGCAAGACCAGTTGAACAAGATCAAGGATGATATTAGCAAGAACTTGTCATTCCTGAAAGTGGACAAAGACTATGTGAAAGCTTTGCCTTCCCAGGGTCTGAACCCATCTGCAGTTCTGGAGAAACTCAAGGAGTACAGCTCTATGGGTATGATGCTCAGCATATGCATGCTTTCTATTTCCTTAAACAGCTGGTGTTGCCCTCATTTAATGTTCACAGAGGCTAAGAATAGTTCATGCCTGGTACTTAAATGTTCAGGAAGGCCTATTCTCCATTTCAGGGGCTGAATTTCATGTGGCTCAGCCTGTAATCCCACGCCTTTGGGAGGCTGAGGTGAGCCCGCGGGTTCGAGACCTGCCTGGGCAGCAAGACCTCATCTCTACAATAAATCAAAAAATCAGCCGGGCATGGTAGCGCATGCCTGTAATTCCGGCTACTCGGAAGGCTGAGGCGAAAGGATCGTTGGAGCCCAGCAGGTCGAGGCTGCGGTGGCCAGGAGCGGCCACTGCACTCCAGTTTGGGCGACAGAGTAAGACTCCAACTCAAAAAAAAAAAAAATGTTTAGTTCCACCCTTCATCTCAGAGATGGTGGAACTTGATTTTATTTCCTTTTGTAAGCATGAATAAAGCAAATACATATGTGCTTTAAAAAAAGAGAATATAATATGTGTAATACAAAAGAAGTATAGATTCGTGTAAAAAATGTGATATCTGCAAAAAGGCACAAAAGAAAATAAAGTCATTGTAGTTTCATCAAAGGTAAACACGGCTGATACATACCTATATATATATATATATATATCTGTATATCTATCTCCCAGAATGATGAGGGTGAGAGAGAGAGAGAATACACATAGAGAGAGAGAGTACACATATGTATGAGCACATATGGGAAGGATACCAGACAGCTTAATGTTTAAGAGTGTAACCCACTGGCTGGGCGCGGTGGCTCAAAACTGAGACTTCGATTAAAAAAAAAAAAAAGGAACCCATGAAATCAACCTGGATTCAAATTCACACATACCTTTTCCACTTAAAGTATGACCTTAGGTTAGTTACTTACTTGTGTATGCCCAGTTTTTGTATCTCTGTGATGGGGATAGCAATAATAGTACAGTACTTACCTGAAAGGATGATTATGGAGATTAAATGAGATTATATGTCTGTGTGGTATAGTACCTGGCTTATAGTAAGTGTTCAGTAAATGTTAACTATTATTGCGTTTATTCTTAACACAAAACACGTGTTTATTATAAAGACCATATTACAAGTACTTTTAACAAATAAGCTTTTTAGTTTGGCATAATGTTAGATTTATAAAAAAGCAGCAAAGGTGATACAGAGATTTCCATATGCCCTTCACTCAGCTTTTCCTGATGTTAACGTCTTATATAACATTTGTTGAAGCTAAAAAATTAACTACACTACAAATTCTACTTCTAATTAATCAGTTTTTCTACTAATGTCCTTTTTTTTATTCTAGGGTCCAGTCCAGTATACTACATTGCATTTTGACAAATACCTTTTAAAATTTTAAGTGATGTGTTGAGGTTTAAACATTGGACTACTACATATAGTCTGGGATATAGGTGATATAAAGCAGGGGTTAGCACCCTAAGATCTACATATTAAAGATTTTCATGAGTGTAAGGGCTGGTTGCTGCCACCATATTGCCTTCCCTTTAATTTTTACATTGTCCATTGCCATACTCTCTAGCACCAGTAAAAGAATAGGAAAGGAAACCATGTGTTCTATTTTTGAAATGCTGTGACTACTGGTCTGAAGGTGTGCATGGTAGAGAGTAGTGTCCTCTAAGAAAAGAGTGAAAGTCAAACTGGCAGCAAGCCAGAGCTTGGCAGGTTGCTGTGAGAATGAGGAATTTGTCTCTCTATATATACCACTCAGAGCTGAAGATCTTTGCATTGGAGAGCCCATGGCTACTTGCAGTTTGTGTTAGTGTTTCTGTAATAGCTTTCTCATCACCCACTTTGAATAGAGCACAGCCGCGTTGTAGTAAAAGAACCTGAGATACCCACATCAAAAGAATCATTGGTACGATGTAGAATGTCTCTGGGGGAGCATTTCAGATAGGAATTGGTAAGTCTGACCCTATAGTCTAGTCAGGAACTGTGGAATAAAGGAGGTTTATCCCCGTGTTGATGTGTTCCTGATCTTGAGTGCTGCCACGTGTGTTGCAGGAAGCAGGGAGCTGGTTCTGTGTGGGTTTTCAGGCTTGGCTGAAGGGTGGGGTCCCTGAGACAAGGAATCTCACGGTTTATACCTTTTTGTGTTTTTTTCCTGGCCCCAACTCTGATGATCACATACTGAAATGTCACACTTTTGCTTGCTCTTTTCTGCCACGTCTGCCCATAACAGTTCCCCCGCTTCCTAGGACTAGATAGGAAAGGAGAGAAGGAGGAAGTTGTTGCAGAACAAGGTCACACTAAAGCCATAGGGAGAACAGAAAATAAGGATAGACAAAGGAACACTTCTATGCCATTAGAAGGCAGTTAGGACGAGGATATCATTATTATAGGACTATACCTAGATGATGTTAGTATCTTTTTCACACTGTTAATAATAATTGAGGATCTTTCTTTGTTGTTTTACCATGATGGCTCTTTACTGAACTTCTTTCTTCCTTGATTTAAGAATGCCATTGGGTTTCTGCTCAGCTTTTCTTTCGCACCCAGAGGACTTTCTGTTTCTTCTTTATGGAACCTGACCGTCTTCCCCGAGATTCCTGCTTACTGACAAGTAGCCTTGACTTTCTTTGCAGATGTCTTCTGGCAGGAAGGAAGAGCCTCTGGGGCCGTGTACAATGGGGAGGAGAAGCTCACCGAGCTCCTGGTGAAGGTGAGTACCCCCCTCTTGAGGGACAAATTGGAGTTCTCACCAGCTCATATGGCCTCAGTGTTCCTCCTTATTTTTGCAATTAGAGAAATAAAGAAATCTTATTGTTAAAATCCTAGATGTTTAGAAAGTTTCTCTTCACCCAAACATAGGCAAATATGCATCATATTGGCAAAGTATTATCAAATTATATTGTCAGAATATTCTATAAAATAGTAAAATTTCTGTTTCCAGGCTTTAGAGATGTCCAGTGGAGAAGGCAGATTACTAGCACAGATAGTCCTATCGTCTGAGGCTTTTGATGCCAAGACAGATTTTGTTTGATAGGAGCAAGGTAGGGAAACTGAGTCATAATTTCCTCAAATCACATGACCTGAGATGAGCAGTAATCTCACTTCAAACAATTCTTATTCTTAGCTTCTTCCATTTCTAATCATTTTATTTTTGAAGACCCACTTGATCATTGGAGTTGCACTGATGGTCTCTAAGTTCTTTGTATTTGGTTTTTATTATTAGAAACTGCTCATACCTTAATGTGTATTACGGGTTTTGCTTAGCTATATCTTGGCATAACACCCTGATCTTACGTCTATGCTTAAATTCTTTCAGTAGCTTCAACAGGATGAAATCCACCCCCCCTTTTTTTTTCCTGAGTTGGAGTCTCACTCTGTTGCCTAGGTTAGAGTGCAGTGGCACACAAACAGCTACTGCAGCCTCCACCTGCAGGGCTCAGGTGATCCTTCCACCTTAGCTGGAACTATAGGTGTGCACCACCACACCCAGCTAATTTTTAAAATTTATTGTAGAGACAAGGTCTAGCCACGTGCCCAGGCTGGTCTTGAACCCCTGGACTCAGGCAATCCTCTTGCCTCCGCCTCCTAAACTGCTGGGATTATAGGTGTGAGCCACCATACCCAGCAGGAACCCAAGTTCTTATGTGGTAGAGACAAGTCCCTTCATGAGCCAGCTCCCATCTCTTTTTTCTTAATTAACTCTGGTTAGTCTCCCACATAAACACTAATCCTTCCTTTTATTATTAAATACACCATGCTCTTATGTTGTTTTCCTTCCCCTCCTTCATTCCACCTGTTCCAAATGATGAATTCCACTTCATCTTTCAAGGTTCCCCTAAGTAGACATCCCCAGCCCACTCGGGATGTTCGTTGTTTGCTCTTCAGGCTCCCTTAATCATCTGTCCATAAATCTTTTGCTGCACACACTAACAAGAGCTGCTTTGTACCAAACACTCTACTATGTGCTTTACATGCATTATGTTATGTAATTATGGCTAAAACCCTGTAAGGTAGGTACCATAACTATTATCCTTTGCATATGAAGAAACTAAACTGAGCCTTAAAGAGAATATTTGACCTACATAGCTGAAAGTGATAGGCAAAGTTAAGACTTCCAGTTGGGTCTGTTTGATGTTATAGCCTATGCTTTTTTTTTTTTTTGAGTTGGAGTCTCACTCTGTCGCCCAGACTGGAGTGCAGTGGCTGCTCCCGGCCACCGCAGCCTCAACCTGCTGGGCTCCAGCGATCCTTCCACCTCAATCTTCCAAGTTGCAGGAACTACAGGCGTGCGCTACCACACCTGGCTAATTTTTGATTTATTGTAGAGATGGTCTCGCCAAGTTGCCCAGGCTGGCCTCGAACCCGCGGGCTCAGGCAATCCACTCACCTCAGCCTCCCAAAGCGTGGAATTATAGGCTGAGCCACCGAACCCGGCCTAGCCTATGCTTTTAACTACATTTGTACTTCTTTCCTTACCAATTGTAAAATTATTTGTGTGCATTATCAAATATTTGCATAATATTTTGATCTTCTTTAGGTTAGGAAGATCAGATATTACCTTTTTCCATTCCTAGTTTTGTGCCTAATTATTACCTAGGAACTGTTGATTAGTGCATGATTCTTTGTCCTATATGGTGCAGTACTCTTCTTTCACATCTGCTTGCATTTCTTTACAGGCTTATGGAAATTTTGCATGGAGTAACCCCCTGCATCCAGATATCTTCCCAGGACTACGTAAGATAGAGGCAGAAATTGTGAGGATGGCTTGTTCCCTGTTCAATGGAGGACCAGATTCCTGTGGATGTGTAAGTATATGCAAGTGGCATTCAATAGTCATATTTTTTTAGCTTATAATAGAAGTTTATTAAAAATATTTTATTACACAAGTAATATTTGATCATTGTAGAAAGATCCAGATTAACTGCAGTTTTTAAATGTTACTGTTTTGTAATCCATAGAGTATTAACATTTTGTTATATATTCTTCTAGGTATTTTTTCTTCACCTTTTTCTTTTCTTTTCTTTTTCTTTTTTTTTTAATTTTAAAGATGTAGGGTACAATTCAGGGTTAGGCATACAAATATTCATTATGCATGTACCCTTATTGATGAGGTGTACCCCTCCCACTCCCAGCAGATTCCCACTACTGCCAGTCCCGCCCCTGCCCTCCCCTGGCAGTTTCCCACTACTGCCAATCCTTTTCTTATAATATTATGATAATTGTCCAAGGTCTGCTTATAAGTGAGAATATGTGGTACTCAGTTCTTTGTTTCTGTGATAGGTCACTCAGTATTATAGATTCTAAGTCCATCCAGGTTGCTGTGAAGTTCATAATTTTGTCCTTCTTTGTCTATTATGACTACATAATATTCCATTGTGTATACGTACCACTTTTTTTAATCCAGTCCTCTTTTGATGGGCAGCACGATGGTTCCATGTTTTTGCTGTTGTGAACAATACTGCAATAAACATGTGTACAGGTATCTTTTTCACAGAGTGATTTGAGTTCCTCTGGATATATTCCCAGTAGGGGGAATGTGGGGTCATTTGGAAGGTTGATTTTTAGATCTTTTAGGAATTGCCACACTGTTTTCCACAGAGGTTGTATTAGTTTACACTCCCACCAACAGTGTAGAAGTGTTCCCTTTTTGCCACATCCTCTCCAGCATCTGTTGTTTTTTAAGTTATTGATGGTGGCCATCTGACTGGAGTTAGGTGGTATCTTAGTGTGGTTTTAATTTGCATTTCTTTGATGACTAGTGAGGCTGAGCATTTTTTCATGTATCTGTTGGGTGCTCTTATGTCTTCTTTTGAGAAGTGTCTATTCACATCTTTTGCCCACTTTGTAATGGGGTTGTTTTTTCCTTTTCGGCATATTTGAGTTCCTTGTAGATCCTAGATGTTAGACCTTTGTCAAACATACAGTTGGCAAATATTTTTTTCCCAGTCTGTGGGCTGTCTCCCTGCTCTCTTGATGACTTCTTTGGCTTTGCAGAAGCTTGTCAGTTTGATGAGGTCCTACTTGTCTATCTTATATCTTATGGCATGGGCACTTGGGTTTTGATCAGAAATTGGTTGCCAGTTCCAATTTCCAAAAGGATGTCTCCTGCATTTTCTAAGAATCTTATAGCTTGAGGTTTTACGTTTAGGTCTTTGATCCATTTAGAGTTGATTTTTGTGTATGGTGATAGGTGGGGTCTTGTTTTAATCTTATGCATGTGGTCAACCAGTTTTCCCAGCACTATTTACTGAATAGGTTCTCCTCTCCCCAGTGCTTGGTGGTGGAGGCTTTGTCGAAGATGAGTTAGAAATTGAGATTTTGCTTCTGGAACCTCTGTCCTGTTCCATTGGTCTGTATGCCTGTTCTTGTACCAGTACCAGACTGTTTTGATTATTGTAGCTTTATAATAAAGGTTAAAGTCTGGGAGTATGATACCTCCTGCTTTGTTTTTGGTTTGGTTTTTTTTTTTGCTGAGGATTGTTTTGGCTACTCATGGTCATTTATGTTTCCATATGAATTCCTGTATTGTCATTTCCAGGTCTCAGAAGAATGCTGCTGGTAATTTGATAGGTATTGCGTTAAATCTGGAGATTGCCTTGGGTAGTAGGATGGACATCTTAACAATGTCAATTCTTCCAATCCATGAGCGTGGAATATTTTTCCATTTGTTTGTGTCTTCTTTGATTTCTTTGAGCAGTGTTTTGTAGTTTTTGTTGTAAAGGTCTTTCATGTCTCTGGTTAGGAAAATGCCAATGTATTCCTTTTTTGTGTGTGTGGCTATTGTGAATGGGATTGTCCTTTTTTTTTTTTTTTTTTTTTTTGAGTCGGAGTCTTACTCTGTTGCCCAGGCTGGAGTGCGTGGCATGCTCTCAACCACCGCAGCCTCGACCTGCTGGGCTCTGGCGATTCTTCCGCCTCAGCCTTCCAAGTAGCTGGAACTACAGGCGTGCGCTACCACACCCAGCTCATTTTTTATTTATTATAGAGACAAGGTCTCACCAAGTTGCCTGGGTGGGTCTCGAACCCGTGGGCTCGGACAATCCTCTCGCCTCAGCCTCCCAAAGTGCTGGGATTACAGGCTGAGCTACCGAGCCCGGCCTGGGATTGTGCTTTTAATTGGGTTTCTGTTTGTTTATTGTCACCTTTTTATTTTAAAAAAATTTGAACTTGCATAAAGTTGCTGGGATAGTTTAAAGAACACCCTAGGTTCGGTAAACATAAATATGTTACCACATCTGTGCTTTCCACTCTTTCTTTCCTTCCCTCTTCCCACACTTCTGCACCCACACACCTACCACGCACCCATTTATCTATGTGTACTTTTGTTGAACCATCCAGCAGTCTTTTTGATATACTTCTCGTTTTACCAGAGCTGGAGGTTCACTTTATTATTTTGCTGTAAACTGAGTCTCAGTCTCATTTAGTTGGTATAGGAATAAAGAAAGGGGGGTATCATCATATTTAAAGACACACATGAGAATTTTTTGTTTTACATGTTCTTTCAAGTAGATTGTTGTTTGTTTTCCTCAACTGTGATAGGTAAACTTCTGTTTATATTTGTCACTACAAACTGACATTGTCTTCTTTAGAAAAAATTAAATCTCAGCTGATGTAGGCTAGATTGATTTCACTCCCTATGCTGTGGTGGTGATCTAGAGGTGCTGATCCTGTCACTCTTACAATCATTATAAAAGTCTGCAAATTGAATTACTGAAGGACCCGATAAGAACACTTTATAGTTGTGTGTGTGTGTGTGTGTGTGCGTGTGTGTTTTTCCAGATGATAGTATTTTGTATTGTTGTACTAATACGGTGGCACCATGAAAAGCAACATGTTCAAATATTCAGTAGCTAACAAAAGTAGTACATCTTTCATTCGTCTTCAAAACAAAATTTCAAAACTGTTAAAAACTGAAGCAGCCATAATACAGTAGCAGGTTCCCCTATAGTATTTAGATGAACGGGGTTACTTATAGAGGGAGAATCTGGATACACTTAATAATAGGTAGGCATTCTAGTGTGCCATTAGGCTCTTTATAAACTTTTAAGAGACCACAGGTTAAACAGCCACAAAACGGTTTGGCCTTATCTGGTAAATTTGAAGATACAAATATTTTATGATTCAGGAACCCTGCTACTCAGGACATACCCTAGAAAAGTCAGTACACTTGTGTAGCAGGATATATGTACATGAATGTTCATAACATTACTCATGATAGCTAAAAACTGGAAATAATTCAAATGTCAGTCAACAGTATACATTTAGATGGATGATTGTAGAATACTTTATGTACCTCAGTCCATTGTGATTGTTGCTCAGATTGATGCTCAGATTACTTGATCTTTGGCCAGTGGGTGCATCTTCATTTTGGCTCATACGCCCTTTGTCTAAGATCATTTCAAGCTAGGTAAAATACATGGTTCTAAAGTGACGTTTATGGAGCAAGACAGATTCCTACCCTCCCAGCCCCTCCAATCCCAAATGCAGTCCAGAAAACCAAAGAAATAGAAAGTACGAAAGAGAGGTTAAGAGACACGAAGGATATAATGAAAAGAGCTAACATACATCTAATTGGTGTTTGAGAGCAGTCAGAGAAAGTAGATAACCTGTAAAGGTATAATTATTAGAACAACTGATATTCTCAATAGCACCTATGGCTGGGGCAGTTGGAGTAGATGAAAGATTGACTGTTAGTTGAAAATTGTTGAAGCTGGGTGGTAAATAGAAGGGTTTTATTCCCTCTTCAGCTATGTCTAATCTACTTTTAAGTTCTTTTGTTGGACTTTTAAATTTCATTGATTGTATTTTTATTCTTGAGAATTCTGTTTGGTTCTTTTTTTTCTTAAATCTGCTTGGTTGTTCTTTATAGTCCCTTTCCTTGGCTTATATTTTGTTTATTTAAATATATCACACATAAATGTTTTATATTCTATGTCTGCTAATTCTAATATCCACGAGGCTTACCTGTCTGATACTGTTGGTTTCATTCATGATGCCTTATTTTCTTATATTTCTGATTTTGTTTGTAACCATACTAGCCATGCATTTTTCTGGGAACTTATAGGGATTCTTGGAGGCCTAGATTGAAGTTAAGTTCTTCCAGAGATTTGTCATTACTTTTGTATGACAAAATGATCGCCACCACTACAATGGAAGCAATTTTTTTTGTGTGTGTGTGAGTTGAAGTCTCACTCTGTCGCCCAGACTGGAGTGCAGTGGCCGCTCCGGGCCACCGCAGCCTCGACCTGCTGGGCTCCGGTGATCCTTCCTCCTCAGCCTTCCAGTAGCTGGAACTACAGGTGCACGCTACCACACTGGCTAATTTTTGATTTATTGTAGAGATGAGGTCTCGCTAAGTTGCCCACGCGGTTCTCGAGCCCATGGGCTCAGGCAATCCACTCACCTCAGCCTCCCAAGGTGTGGGATTACAGGCTGAGCCACCGAGCCTGGCTATTGGAAGCAATTTAAGTCAAATTCTCAGCTTGTCATTTTGTACCACAAAGGTAGTATGAATTCAGGCCACTAACTCACATAAAGGCTGTCTTGTTACACATCCTTGAGAGATTCTTATTTTTTTTACTTGAGCATCAGGATTATGGAAAGCAGTTTTTCTTGCTATTGTCTTCTATGCTATTGGGGTTTATTTCTTATACACCTATAAGTGTGAGTTTTTTCCCAGCCATCTACTACTGGACTTTTTTTTCTTTCTTTTCTTTTTTTTTTTACCTTGAGCAAGCTCCAGATTTATCGCCTGGTCCATACTTTCCTCATCTGTCATGTGGGAGTTTGAAGTCTCTAGGAGTTGGCACCACCCTCAGGGTGAAAGCTAGTTTTGGCACTCACTTATCCTGCAGGACTCTTGAGCTTGCTTTGTTTTGAGGTTTAGTATATTTCTTTATGTAGTGACTTTTTAGTTCAGTTAGGAGAGTTGCTCAAGGTTATAATCTCTATTGTTAGAAATAGCAGTTCCATATTTCTTCCTCATGTGACAGACTTTTGTGTATTTGAAAGTCCCTTTCCCCCGAATCTTCTCCTCCCCACATTTGTTCTGGTTTACTCAGCTGTTCATATGATTTCACAGATTTCCAACCACTGCAGTCATTCTCTGATTGCCTTTTGGTTATCTCTGACTGGCCAGATGACGTTCTTTAAGTGTAGAGTGACATCACTCTTCTTGCAGTCTGTCTTTTTATCTGTGTTCACTAAACTTATTTGAGACCTTTTCCTCCAAGTCAGCATTTTATTCTCAGTAGTGTTTATTCTGTTCCTTGTTGTTCCTAATATATTTGTTAGTTCTGTATGGGAGCCATTTGCTTTGGGTTTTTTTGGTCAGTAGTCTCATTTTGTTTTTCATTGTCCGGCTTTTGAACTCTTGTTTTCTTGAGTTCATATTCTTAGGATATTGTCCTATAGTGAGAGACAGTTATGAGGAATTTCCTTCTGTCCCTTAGCTTGTTTCCTTCTGAGTTGGCTTTTTCTTTTGCATGCTACATACTACCATATCCCCCCACTTTTAGTATGTTTGTGTTGTTTTCATGCCATTTTCTTTCATCCTAGCTCGTCCTGGGTGGTGCACTCCAGATGTTCTGTTTGTTCTGATACATGGTAGGTGCTTCCTGTCTGAGGATATTTGGCTGGAGATAATACCAGCACTTAGTTACCTTATAAAAATCTAAATATTGGAAGAGACTGGGAGTCAGACTCTGGCCTTCTCCTGATCCCTGACATATCCACTGAAGAAGATTATAACAATAGAGACAGCCGGGCTCGGTGGCTCAGCCTGTAATCTTGCGCCTTGGGAGGCTGAGGTGAGTGGATTGCCTGAGCCCGTGGGTTCGAGTCCTGCCTGAGCAACTTGGCAAGACCTCACCTCTACAATAAATCAAAAAAAATAGCCGGGCGTGGTAGCGTGCGCCTGTAGTTCCAGCTACTTGGAAGGCTGAGGCGGAAGGATCGCCGGAGCCCAGCAGGTCGAGGCTGTGGTGGCCGGGAGCGGCCACTGCACTCCAGTCTGGGCGACAGAGTGAGACTCCAACTCAAAAAAAAAAAAAAGCAACAGAGTCATGGCTTAATTGTAGCAATACAAAAAACTCCTAGGGTTGGACTTCTGAATTAAGATGAAAACAACCAACTTCACAGATTTTCTCTCCCGCAATGCTTGAAGGAAAAAAACAAAGTTAAAACCTGCAATAACAACCAAACAAGGAGCAAGGGATAATCTAATGCAATAAACTTTAATACCGGCAATCAAAAACAAAACAGTGAAGCATTGGAGGGGAGAAAATCTGTGAAGTAGTTTTCGTCTCCTTTCCCTGCCCCTCTCTGTCTCTCCCTCTCCCCCTTTAGCCTCCCTCTCTGTTTCTCTCTCTGTATATCTTCCTATCTCTCTCTCAATGAAGCTGCTCTTGGTAAAGAAAGGGTTCAGTGTTCAGAAGTGGGAAGCAAGAAAAAGACAAGGCCAAATGACTGGTCAGTCTTTAGACTTTTCTCAACTAAAGCTCTTAAACTCTTCTTGTTCTTTGTTCTTCAACTTTAAACTATCTTTCCTTCTATTCACTTGCCTCAATTACAGTGAATGAGAGGCGACTTCATAGATTACCATGTGAAACATACTTCTTGACATTATGCTAATGCCATTAGCTCCAAACAGCATCTGGAAGAAAATTTTCCAAGTAGATCATGTTCTACTCCTGTTTTCTGAAATATGTATCATATGTTAGAGTGACAGTTTTTATACATGTTGAAAGAAGTTGGATAATCCAACAAGTGGTTACTGAGGCTTTTCATTTTCTTACTTCATAATTAAGTTGTTTCTCTTTGGGTATGGGGGTGGAGGGAAGTGGAAGAGCATTAGCATTTTTAAATACAAAATTTGGAGTACAGAAATAAAAATTAGAAGTAGAATGTAGATATTCCTGCTTTTACAGTCAAAAGTACACTGGTGTTTACCTAACAAATAATGATGTTGTTTTGATTAATTATTGGATTAAAAATAGGACATATGAAGTGGTTGATAAGGAATTTGGAAATATTTATGCTTAAGTCATTACTGGGCCTTGGTGAGAGATTGACGCAATGGAGACTTGGACTTTGATGGTCCTTCCCTGACTTTCTTCACAGCTAGCTTGGCTCCTCATGTGACATTCTGAGGTTTTATGCTAAACCACAGGACATGCTGCTGATTTGCTGAGCTGACCTCAACTGTACGCACTTTGTCTTCTCCACATAAAAATACCGAGACATATAAACATGTGTCCCATGCCCAGGTTCCATGCATTATTTTGTGGGCAATAGTCACATGTTTCATGAAGACTTCCTGAGTCAAAAAATGACTTACTTCATTTTCCATATAACTCCTGACCACTGGGATTTTGTATACAATGATATTCTTGTCCTGTGTATATGGATATTATTTTAGGAAAGTTCAGTAATCACCATCTCTCTTTTTATCTTATATCAAGCTATACTAAATACCAAAACATACAAAGTTTCACTTCTACCAACAGAGGCTAATGTATGATGCTGGGGAAATCACTTTTGTCTCTCAGGGCTGTTTTTCTCACCTGTAAAATGGAAAGATTGTGTAACTTTTCAAAGATGGTAAACCTGAAAAGATGTCCAGCTAGTTCAGTGCTATGACTTTTTGTTTGTTTTGAAAGTAGTCATTTTCATATATTATCAGAAAATAGCCAGGTGGCTCTGACATGCCTGTGTTGGTCACAGTTTACTGAAAGTCAAGTCAGGCATCAGAAAATGTACATCAAGAGTCTGTTAGGTGTCAGCTATTGTGCTAGGTGCTGGAGATACTGTCATGAACAGATTGGTCCCACCTTCACGAGTTTGTAGTTCAGTGAGGAAATAAGATGAATGTAAGACCTCTACATTTTTTTGTTTAAACTCTGGGTTAAAGAAATGTGTTCATCAGAGGGGGTAGGCTGAGCTTCAGGAAAACATTTTGCTTCATTTAAAAACATAAGGATTTTTGTTTTATTTTAGGTAAGACAGCAAACTTCCATCTAAGTAGAAACTTCTTCCTTTCTCTTTCAAATGTGTCAAAACCACTAGTTTACTTTGGAAAGTTTGAATGTCACTTTTTTTGATCAGCTGATGTATAGTTTACTAGAATTATAACTTCACAATGTTGTATTCCTCAACAGGCATTGAACACTTAAAATTAATTCTGATACTTTTGAATGGCATAAAATGCCCTATTCTAGTTGAAAATGGACAGATTAATACAGAAATGTGAATGGATTGTAAATACATGGGACCTGGGCAAATGTGCCTTTGTCTAGATGGTGCTGAGTTTCTGTTCATTTTTATTTAGTAGTTTTCATTCTTCTCCTGAACCAAGATTGACTTAGCCAACAAAGCCAAATTTTCCTTCTGGAAGACATAGCAGTATCTGCCCTGCACCATGCCTCCAAGTCCTTGTCTGTTTCTTCATCAAACATTGTCAAGATCAGGGCAGGAAGTGTACTCTGACATCTAACCCTGACTCTCCCCCAACAGATGGTGTCTCTTCTTTATTATAGGTGACCTCTGGGGGGACAGAAAGCATATTGATGGCCTGCAAAGCATATCGGGACCTGGCCTTAGAGAAGGGAATCACAACTCCAGAAATGTATGTATGTGTGGCTTCCAGATTTGTCTGCTTGGGGCTGGTGCAAAGCTGAGTCTGATAATCTCTTTTCCTGCTTCTTCCCTTCTCTGATAATTCCAGTTCTATTCCTCCTGGTCCTGGCCCCTCTACCCATGTACTTTCACATTCAGTTAAATTCTAAGTGGATCAGCCCGTTATTTTAAAGAGCATTCCTAACCCCCCAAGTTTGTACATGGTAGATACTACATGAATGAGATTATTTTTCCAAAAGTGGCAGAGTTAGAGGACTACTTCTCTGAATCCTGTGATATTTATTGCAGATTGAGCCTAAGGAAAGCTCTCTACTTGCCTTAAGTGAGACTGTCTTAAATATTATAGGCTGCCTTAACGTGCTCCCTAGGAAAGTTTCAGTCAGAGCTGTTTTCTGGAAGAAAAATAAAAATATATTTTTGAGATTTACCCATACTGCCCACCCATGGACATAATTTTGATGCTTTGTAACATTTTTTTCTCTAGACCCTCTTTTCATATTGTGTAACCAAAAAGATGTTTTTCCCACAAGTGTCAGTGACTGAGGGGTTCTGTTGCATATGGTCCATGCTATGATTCATACAAGAGAAGAAATCAGGCTACTATTCTTTCTTCATGCATAAATCTTCAGTGCTTGGTACTTACTTAGCAGTAGAGATTTTTCTCCCTTAAAAGGACAGGTTAATTGTAAAAGTGAAGAAATTAAGGAATTAAATATCTCAAAGCAGATATTTACCTGTGACCCCGTTTCCTTTCAATACTATTTCCAAATGTGTAGAAGAAATGGGGACTTGAGTTTCTTATAGGTTCGTGGTCTTTCTGAGTTGGAAGGGCCCACTGAGCTGACACCTGACTGCTGCTTTCACGTGCTCACCCAGCAGGTTTCAGTCTTCTGTCTCTGTTTGAACGTGAACTGTGTCAGGAAGCCTGCTTCTCATTGAGTGCCTGTCTTTGGGTGGCCAGCTGCTAGAAGCTCTATCTTACATTGCTCTGACCTGAATTCTCTGTCTTTTAACTTTCACCTGTCAGCCCTCCTTCAAGCTTTGGATCCCCCAATGTGGGATCCATTCTGTATTCTCTTTCTGATAGCCAAAATGATTTCCTAAATAGTAGGGAGAACCTTTCCATAGATTAATCTGTTGGCCTCTTTTGTTTTTGCTTAAAAAGGAAAGCAAAGCAATAATATAAACACTTAAATAATTTGGGGAAAAAGAAACAGAAGTTTATTTTTGCTGATTGAGATTAGCTGTTGTGTTATCTCTTGAATCCTATTGTAGCCTGAACTTCATTATTCTCTTCCCTGTCATCTAGTGTGGCTCCCAGAAGTGCCCATGCTGCATTTGACAAAGCAGCCAATTATTTTGGGATGAGAATTGTGCGGGTCCCCCTGACCAAGACGATGGAGGTGGATTTACGGGTGAGTGCTCTGGAGGGCCTGCTGTTCTGGGCTGTGAGGGCAGGAGTGACAGTTACTGGTGAGCTTTTTCCAGGCACACTCAGACTGGCTCCAACTGTCTTTTGTAATAAAAAAAAAATAGCAGCCAGAGTATTAGAAACAGCTACTCGTAGTAGTGATTGACTGCAGCTTCAGTCTTTTCATAGGGTCATGAATTCTAAAAGGAGATGGTCCAATTCCCTAACTTGGGACTTTTAAGACCTGGGTTTTGCTATCAACACCAACACTTCTCCTTTCTTTTCTCATGAATTCTAAAAGGGATATGGTCCAGTTCCCTAACTTGGGACTTTTAAGACCTGGGTTTTGCTGTCAATACCATCACTTCTCCTTTCTTTTCTCATGAATTCTAAAAGGGAGATGGTCCAGTTCCCTAACTTAGGACTCTTAAGACCTGGGTTTTGCTGCAACACTTTTCCTTTCTTTTCTCTATTTGTACAATGAGCATGTACTAACTTGTCTCAAGACTCTCACTGTGATTTTGATTGGCATATATTAGTAGCACTGTCGTTATAATAATTATTTTTATACCTACACATTTGTGTAGAGGAACTTTCTAGTTTCAGAGTGCTGTCAGAATTACATTTGAGCCTTGTGACTATCCAAGGAGGTTGATGAAGCTGTTACATTATCACAGTTCACAGATGAGGAAACAGACTATGTGAAATCATTTACTTGGGGCTTCACTGTGAGCAGATGGTGGAGCTGGCACTAATATTGGGCTCTTTTGCCTCTGAGCTCAATATTGTTTTCTCCTCTGCTGTGATTTTATTGTTCTTGCTTTGTGCTCTTAGACAATTTTCCCCAAAATGACCTGTCTGAACTTGCTTGTATTCTGCCACTGTGGTGGGGAGTCCTTTCCCAGGCTGGAAGGTGAAGGAAGGGTACTGTTGAACTAGAACTCTTAGCTAGCAGCCCAGATTGCTTCTGGCAGCAGAAGAGAAGAGTGATTGTGACACAGACCCTCATTTTCCTTTAAACTTTAAATCCCTAGGCAATGAGAAGAGCCATCTCTAGGAACACTGCCATGCTCGTCTGTTCTGCCCCACAGTATCCTCATGGTGTGATAGATCCTGTCCCTGAAGTGGCCAAGGTACATGAGAGAAGTGGGCTGCTATGGCAGACAGATCGAGATTATAAAGCAGAGTCTAACGGTGCAGTACTTGGCAAATAGAAGCAATTTGGATTTTGGTTTGCCCACAGTACTGATGAGCAGCTCTTGCAGGTCCTAGGGGAAGCCCTGCGGCCTCTGGAAGTTGCCAGCCTTCGCTATGGGGGAGGATAATACAAGGCCAAGGCCTTACTTTAAACTGAAATAGTATGCACTTTTAGATTGAGATCAGGAAATAATCTGCCTGTGGGAAAGTGCCCTCTAGAGGGCTGTGTTCCACATGCTGCCCCAGGGCATTGCCCCGCCTGCCCTGCACCCTGTGGTGACTAAAGCAGAACCCTAAGTCAGAGCTCTACTCATTTCCTGCTTGGTTGTTGCAAGGAGCTTGAGGTCACGCATGTTTAAATATAAAGTAGATACCACATTTCAGATTAATGATTTTGAAGGCTAAATATGTTGGAAAGATAAACGGGGAATGTCAAAAACAGCCAATTTTTTAAAACATGGGAGCCATAGTACAAAATAACCTTGTGTGTATAGCCTACCTGTCCACTTGTATCCTGCAAAGTTTTTATTATAGAACTACAAGTGAAATTCTCTTAATGTTCTTTGTTTTTTGAAACAAGCTGGCTGTCAAATACAAAGTACCTCTTCATGTAGATGCTTGTCTAGGGGGCTTCCTCATTGTCTTTATGGAGAAAGCAGGATACCCACTGGAGCAACCATTTGATTTCCGGGTGAAAGGTGTGACCAGCATTTCAGCTGATACCCATAAGGTGAGCTAAGGAGGAGATCGAGTGTTAACAGTTGCTGATTTTGATTATTTTCAACACAATAAATTGACTAAAGCATTAGCTTCCTCCTATAAGATTAAATCTGTCTCTCTGCTCTCACCAGGTCAGCTGGTTCAGGTGACAGGGTATCATCAAATAATAGTGAAAGGAACCTATTTCCTTTATCGCATACTGGCTAAGAGAATTTCTGTATCCACTGACTCTGTAACTAGGGTATAGCAGCCCTTATAAAGAACTTCCCTAAAGTCTTGAGGCTGAGGTGGAAGGTGGAGGCAGTGAGCGTTAATGCTATGGCCCTTATAAAGAACTTCCTTAAAATTTTGAGGCTGAGGCAGAAGGTGGAGGCGGTGAGGGTCGATGCTGGAGTTATAAGAGGGAGGATGTTAATCCTGCAGCCTATGCTGCTGGCTTCTAAGTCTATGTGACAAGAAAATGTAAACAGAAGAGTCCTCAGGGAAGGGGAAGACCTGTGTGCTCAGGAATGTCCAGCCTGCAGTGCTTGACATGTCCATGCCTGCCACCCCTGCTGAACTGAGATGAAGAGTTGGAGACTCTTCTGAGTATATATCCAGGTGTGGAAGAAGTATTAGCCTCAGGAATGTGTGTGTAGTTTGGATGGCATTTTCAGAGCTTGCTTTAAACTTGAGTACAATAAAGACTTATTTTTCAAACTCTAAATGATCTGCAACAGGTTTTCAGTCGGAATCTGTTTTTACCTTCCCACCCAGCGAGCTCCTGTGCCCTTTTTTCCTTAACCATCTATCTCTGTGTGGTTTGGGAGTGAAATGAGTTCTGTGTTACCTTTGGTAAGAGTTAATTAGGGGAGCACATTTTCTATAAGGAAACCAATTACATAGTTAATTTTCAGGCAAAACAGATGGGAAGGAGGTCAGATGGTGATTTTAGTTGCTCCAAGGGACTTAAATTCCATCCTTTCCTGGCCTGCATTGGAAACTTATCCTTGTTTCCATTCTGACATGCCACCCCAGAGGAATATTTTAAATAAGGAAAACCACATGCTGAGTAAGAGACTGGGCAAAATACTGCTCTTCCCTGGACCTCGATTCCGCCTCCCTTACAAAGAGAATGTAAATCCATCCCTTAAAGTTCCTTCTGCCCGGTAACATTTTAGATTTGAATCCTTAGTGTGAATGGGAAATATCATAGAGAAACTGAAAAGTAGGCATTTCTTTGCATGATGAGAGTTTTGGGACAAGATACGCCAGACTGAACTGCATTCTCACCTGTCTGCTTCTTCCCCCTCAGTATGGCTATGCCCCCAAAGGCTCTTCAGTGGTGTTGTACAGTGACAAGAAGTACAGGAGCTATCAGTTCTTCGTTGCAACAGATTGGCAGGGTGGCATCTATGCTTCCCCGACCATCGCAGGCTCACGGCCTGGCGGCATTAGTGCAGCCTGCTGGGCTGCCTTGATGTACTTCGGTGAGAACGGCTATGTTGAAGCTACCAAACAGATCATCAAAACTGCTCGCTTCCTCAAGTCAGAGTATGTGTGGAAGACTGGGATTCTGCCTTGTCTCTTGTTTTTCTCCTAGTAGGCTCATGGCACCTGCCTGGCTAAGTATCCATAACCCTGCCCCTTTGCTGTCTCTGCAGAGACCAAGGGTTTAGAACAGCAGCTTTTAGGAATATGGTGCTGGCCTGGGAGGACAAGCTCCCTTTTTCTGCTGTGACTTTTGGAAAGTCTTCAGAAACAGGGGCTTCATTTGTAGACTGCCTTGTCTCTAGGGATGTCTTAACAACTGACAGCTCTTACCCTAATGCTAAGGTTCAGTTTAATGGCTAAGACAGTGGTTCCCAAACTTGAGCATGCATCCTAATCACCTGGAGGACTTCTTGGTAAAATGCAGATTGCAGGGACCCACTCCCAGAGTTTCTGACTCAGTAGAGCTGCGATGGCAACTAAGGATTTCCATTTCTAGCAAGTTCCCAAGAGATACTGATGCTACTGATCCAGGAATCACTGGATAAGAAAAGAATTGGAAATAGGGCAGAAGGCATGGGGCAGGGAGGCCGATGAAATCTGGGGTAAGCCAAGGCCAGAACTGGCTACATGCTTTGTCTAGCATATCTGTTAGTGTATTACTTGCCTGTCCCTCTGTGTATTACTTCCCCGACCATCGCAGGCTCACGGCCTGGCGGCATTAGTGCAGCCTGCTGGGCTGCCTTGATGTACTTCGGTGAGAACGGCTATGTTGAAGCTACCAATGAAAAAGGTCCTCATATCATTCTGATAGGGCCATGTGTTGAGAATCACTGTACCATTTCTTGCTTTAGGGATTATATATATGACTTTTTAGACCTGTAGAGAGGGAGGGATTATTTTTTCAGAAAAAAAATTTAGTACATCTTTTATGCCTCAGATACCCTTGGGGAATATAATCAGCAGTTGGGTAGACAGGTTAGAAACAAGTGATTCTGATTCATTAGATCTAGATGGGATTTGGACTTTGGGCTATTTTAATGTTCCATCTGTGATTCTGATCTCCATAAGAATCACCAATCCCATTCTAGCCGTCTTCTTTTAGAAGATGAGAAAACTAAGTCCCCAAAGGTAGATTGCATTCATTATGAGGGAGATTAAAGAGTTGGTGACCAGAGGAGTATATGTGGCTGAATTTTCTTTTTCTTCCTTTTTTTTTAAAGACTAGAAAATATCAAAGGCATCTTTGTTTTTGGGAATCCCCAGTTGTCCGTCATTGCTTTGGGCTCCCATGATTTTGACATCTTCCGACTATTTAACCTGATGACCGCTAAGGGGTGGAACTTGAACCAGTTGCAATTCCCATCTAGGTAAGCCTGGAGAAGCCTCTTTCCCTTCCTTTGCTCCATGACTGTGAAAGAACATGGGTAGCAAGGTAACCTGAAGTGTAGAACGTGACTGCTAGAGCCCAGCACTTGAGTAGCATCTGTAGAATCTAAAGGATTTCTGTCTTGCCACCTGGAGCTATGTGATACAAAGAATAATACCATTAGCTTTAAACTCTGGCAGAATTAGGTGACAGGCTTCCAAAACCAGTGGTGGGTCATGAGGTTTCTTTCCTACTCTCTAGCCTCTGTACCCTCTGATCCATCTTGTACACAAATTGCTCTTATAAAATACTCTTTACTTGTGTCATATCTAGTTCAAAACCCTCCAGAGGGTCTCTAGTCATTCAGGCTTGTAACTGTCTTCCTAATAGGCTTTTCTACCCTCATCTCCTTGATACCTTTAAGTGGACACGCCATTCCAGCTGAATATGGCTGTTCATGTCCTCTGTGTACAGCTTACCCTTCCACATATTGGTGCACTGCTAGTCCTATCTGGACTATCTCTTGTCCTCTTCACAATTCCGCTAAACCTCATCTTCCCTCTAGGGTGAGTTAAAGTTTCTTCTTTGCCCGGAAGTTCTTCAAGACCCCAGCTATTAGACCCTGTCCTCATGAGGGCCCATGAGGGCTGATCATCTAACATGAAAGTGTCCCATTAGTGGTCATACAGCTGAAGGAATAGTGATGGAGTTGTGAGGGGAGGGCTGGGACAGAGCATCCAGCTGTGCCATTCTCTTAGAATGGTTCTTGAGCACACTGAGGAGCCCCGATGGCAGCCCTTTCTTGACAGCCTCAGTATTTGAGAGCCCTGATTCCCAGGACTGGGAACAACTTGGATGACTGCACTTTCACAAATAACATGAAAGGGCAACCAGTAAATTCCCATATTTTGGGCTGCTTTATTTTAGAACATTTTTTTCTTTTTCAAGGTTCATCTCTTTCTCTTTCTCTCTCTGTCTTGTCCTTCTCCTGTAGTATTCATATCTGCATCACATTGGTACACGCTCGGAAACGAGTAGCCATACAATTCCTGAAGGATGTCCGGGAATCCATCACTCAAATCATGAAGAATCCTAAAGCGAAGACCACAGGAATGGTAGGGCGTGGGGTTTTTTTCTTCCCTTGGGAACGTGGTGGAGGGCTTGAAAGAATCAGATGGCCTGGAGTCTGTTCCTGCCCCTGTCCTTTACCACACCCTTTCTTCTTTGCTAATTGGAGCTGATGGTCTGCTGCACCCACTCCAGAGTGGTTGGACGTCTCCCATGAGACACACTGTGTAGAATACCTCGTAAGTTTAGGGACTGCTAGACATAGCAGGTGATGCTAGTGTCCATTTGAAAAGAACAGTTTGACACAGAAAAGGCCATAAACATGTTTTCTCTGGAATTTTATACAGCAAGTCCCATGGGATGGTTCCTTTATGCAGAAAGACAGACTGGAAGGAAAGTTCCTGTGAATGATGTTCTCTGCCAGCTGTTTTTCTACTAGAATGATAGGTTGCCTAAGGTGGGGTGGGGGCGGCACATGTGAAAAGCTATGACTGGGGGGGGGCTCTGTCCTTGTCCCTGTACCCATCCTCACTAATCATGTGTCTTTGATTGGATTTGTAGGGTGCCATCTATGGCATGGCCCAGACAACCGTTGACAGGAATATGGTTGCAGAACTATCCTCAGTCTTCCTGGACAGCTTGTACAGCACAGACACTGTCACCCAGGGAAGCCAGATGAATGGTTCTCCAAAACCCCACTGAGCTTGCATCCTTTCTAGTCACAAGGGGCGTCTGGCCTTCAGAAGGTTCTCGGGATACGACCAGGCCACGCACAACTTTGACATGCGGTCTTGCTCCACAGAGCACAAGAGAGACCATCAGATAGCTTGAGGCTCAGGATTCACGTCCACCTTTTGTCATCCTTATGTGGTTTTTAACTTGAAGACCTTGAAGGATTCCATTATGTAATGATTTTGCCCTTGTCATAAATGTTGCCCTAGGAATTGTTTTAACCATTTCCTTTTCTAACTGCTCTAGCTTTCACCTTCACTTGATCATTGTGTGGCAGCTCTGATCTGTCCTGATTCCTTAGGGAGGCTGGGTACAGTTTATGAGGTAGCAAAAGGGTTTCTTCTTACCTCAGGCGGGAAGCATTTATGTAACAAATGTGTCCCCAGCTGGGTGTTAGGTGTACTCTAAGCAGGAGGCTTTTCAGCTCTCCCTCTTTAGAGTAGATTAGTTGTCTCTCTCAGAATCACTTTTATTGTAGCTCCGTTTTATTTTTCCAGGACATAGATGGACCAGGCTGTTGTTCCCTGTTCTGCAGGATTGGGACGTTCAAGAATAACTGCCCTGTCCACCAAGGCAGGGTTTGGGGTGGTATCTTCTGTGCTTGCTGTCCCCATCTGACACTTAGTTGCCACCATCTTTGGAGATTCTTATTTGAAATGATGTCCCCATTGGTTTGTTCTTGTTTTTATGGAGTAGGAAGAGAACCTAGGACCTTCTGGCCTAGTGCTGCTTCCTTGAATTGGCAGTGGTCAGAGCACACCTGAGCCCTCTCCTGGATGGTGATGAGCAGGAACCAGACCCTCTTCTGTACTTTTCTGAATATATCAGAGTACGATGAGCACCCCAGACTGAAATATGTGTCACCAGTGTTGGTGGTGGTCCTCTCCTCCCCCATTCATTAAGCCATCATGTAATGAGAATATATGTGCTTGAAGGAACAGCTCAAAGCACCTTCACAAGTTGCCTTGACTTACCTTAAGTGGGTGTGAGACAGCTCCCAGAGCAAGGAAAGTTTTCTCTCTGAGTGTGTTCTTGCTGCCTCTTCCCCCTTTGTTCAGCTTCCACAGGTACTATGGCAGTTTTGCCTTAGAAACTGGACAGTTCTCAGCCCTAGCTAAAAGGGAGCAGTGTAGGGAAAGAAACATTTTGGAATCAGATAGCAGGATGACAAGCAGCCACTGTAGCCTAGGGCCTGCAATCCCTTCATAAGACTAGTTTCTCAGGGTGGTGCAGGGACAGGACCAAACCCTGCACCCACTTCCTGCCCTCTTCTCCCCTCTGGGGGACTCTGATCTAGGTTGAGTCACTGTCCTGCTCTGATGACATCATTTTGTGTGCCTTTCTCCTCAGTGGTGAGTGGCGACTCTTCCCGGCCCAGGCCCTGGAGGGGGAGTGGATCCGTCTTTGAGGTTTCTATTTGAGTAGGGGACTACTTAGAACAAGTCAGGAGAAACTTTTCTCTGCTGCATTCCCCATCTCAGGGACCCCTGAATACTCAGCCTCTCCAGGCTGCATCTTCTAGCCTCCCCCACCAGAATGCCAGTCAGGAGGGCCGACTTCAGCTTTCCTCAAGCTCCTTAACACGTTTGTTCGAAGTGTTCTTTGGCACTGTACTTCTTACCCAACAACTGTGACTAGCTGGCCACTTCATTCAGGGCCGGTGTGGTATGTATGTGTGTGTTTCTTTCCTGTTTGCTCTGCAGTGCACAGTGGATTCCAGGAGTGGTGGATATGCATATGTGTCAGGAGAGGCTGAGATCCTCAGGACACAACATCACACGCCTCCTTCCAGTTGCTGAACTGTAGGGCACCTCTTTGAGAGAGTAGCTAGGGCTGGAGCTGTGGGTAAATCGTCTCGGGTCTCCAGCACATTATGTTGAAGGATGTCTGGGGACCCAGAGCCACCTATTGGGCACCACTGTGGCTTGCAGCTACTAAAATGGAGAAGCATGTGCCCTACAGTTTCTCCCCAGGACCAGACCCCTGAGCCACTCACATCTCTGTGCTGTGACTACATTGGTGCTGGGGGAGATGATGTTTTTTAAAGGGATCTACTATAGCCACTTTAATTATGATTGAGAGTCTTAGTTTGACTTGACACTTTTGTAGGCTTTTCATTTTGTGTGTATCTGTGCATGTGTGTGCATGTAGTAATACCTAATCTGTTGCAGAGGTGGGTAGAGGGTCTTAATAGTATCATGTAGCTCACAGGTGTCACATTGGCCTCTGAAAAAACTGTACTGTCTTGTCTCTGCATTAGAAGTAAGTAGTGTGAACACACTGCCATGTCACTTTTAATATTACCAGTTTTATACTTGGAAAAATGGTACCTTTAAATCTTCTATGTCTTCTCTAACCTCCTGCCTCCCATATCTCAATGCTCCCTTCTAATTGCAGCAGTAATCTCTTAAAAAACAATTAAATAATTAAATGACCCAAATTGTAATTACTGTGAATGGTGGCATTCATTTGATTACTTGGGCACACATGCAGGTCACAAATGGGGTGGTGGCAGCACTTGAATGGGCTGGTGAGAGATCGCCCCCTGGTGGTGAAATCATGACGTGTGCCCACAGATACTGGGACCAAATAAGACACAGGTGAACAGCAGCAGAGGCTAATTTCCAGGCACTTTAATAGGTAGCTGCTTGGTCTCTGCTTCAGGAGTGGTGGTCATACTTGTTTCAGGAAGGTCTAGGATTCAGATTATTAGTTTCACAAGCCAGGGCCCTATTTTATGATTTCTGCCATCTTCATCATCTACTTCTGCTTACAACTTAATGATAGATGGAGCCATCTGGGTGGTCTCCAGCCAGCCGGTTGGTGTGGTCGTGCCTAACCAAAGGGCAATGGCCGCAAGCCCTGCATTTGGTTTAGGGGCTGATAGAGCTCCTAAAATGATCTTCACACATGTAGCCACTGGGCATCCTGTTCCCATATGCATAAGAAATAAGAGGGCTTTCCAGGGGTTGGTCAGCTTCTGAAGATGGTTAGTCAGGTAACCCACCATTTCATTCTGGCTTTCAGCCCATTCAGACGTTGCCAGAATCAAGCCAATAACTGGTGTCTTTGCTGTTTTCTGACCAAATGGCCTAGTTCTTGGAGCACCTGTCACCCTTGAGAAAGAGGAGCCAGAATACGCCTGGCTAAGGAGGCCTGGCCCACTTGTGACATCATGTATGGGATGCCTGTTGCTGCTCTGTGTCCCCTTGCCTTCTTTGTGTGTTCTTGGTAACAATGAGCAACTTTCTGCTAGACTCAGCTGTGACAGAAGTAATGACAGGCCTAATTTGATAACCTGGGTAGGCACAAGTCAGGTTTTTGAGAGTCTTTTCTTGGAGTTTTAGTGCCTTTCTTTTGTGCTTTTTCTCTTGATTATAATCTCTTCTCTCCGTAACAGCCTCCCCTATAATTTCAATTATTTGGATTAAGTTTAGAATAAACCTATTTATTTCTAAAAAATGTTGCCTGTGTTTTTGTCCCACATAAAGGCACATCATACAACTGTAGTGCCACCGTTGGCATTTTTCTACCCTTAATCTTTGATGACAGGCAGAGGGAGGAATGTGGCAAGATAGCATAGTTCACACCTCCATGTCTGGTGTCTTCTGTCCCTCAATCCTCAAGTCATCAGATCAAAGCACACTTGGAAAAGTTTAAGCCAGAAGTGGAGCAGATAGGAGACTACTGTCTGAATTTTGTTTGTCTTAAGCTTTTGTAGAGAAATTGCCACCAACATAGGTATTGATAACCCTTTACCAGCATATAGGCTAGTAAGGAGGGGGGGTCTTGAAAATCCCTCCTACCGACAATATCCTTATTTCCCAAGCACCACCCTCTGCCTCTTTTTTGGCCCTTTTTAGGGGACCAACTCACCCAGGATGACTGAGGTCTGACATGGCTAGATGCCTGCTCCAGGTAACCCTGGCATTTGCAAATCAGCTTAGTACTGTACCAGATGGTGCTTCAGGTTAGGAGTCACAAGTGAAAACTCCTAGGAAAAGGGCTTCCCAATCTCCTGCATCATGGCACACATGAAGGGATACTTGTGTGGCATGTACACTGAAAAATGAGACTGCTTTCTGTCCCCTTCTCTGCCATGGCACATCAGTGGAAACAGTCTGTCCTAGAGAGCTGGGGAACTGACCTGTGCAAACCAGCTCTTTTACCTGCTCCAGTGGTAAACAGCCTGGCATCTCCTGAGCTGTGCCTGTCTTCTTGTAGAGTAAAAACAGGCCAGCCCTGAGAACGTTGCTAAGATTCTGAGAAACTGCAGACCATCAGGAGAAATCTCCCCATCTAATGCGATAGGCTCGTGTATTAGGGTTCTCCAGAGAAGCAGAACCAAGAACACAGATACATTTATCGAAAGGAATTGACTCGTGACTGTTGAAGATGACAAGTCCCCAGATCTGTAGTTGGCAAGCTGTAGACCCAGGAGGCACATGGGTTAGTTCCAGTCTGGAGATCTGCAGGCTTAAGACCCCAAAAGAGTGATGTTTCATCTGAGTTGGAAAGCAGGAAAAGACCAACGTCCTAGCTCAGGGCAGCTAGGCATGAGGAGTTCCCTCTTATTTGGGGAAGGGTCAGCCCTTTTGTTCTGTACAGGCCTTCAACTGATTGGATGAGGCCCACCTGCTTCAGGGAGGGCATTCTGCTGTAGTCAGTGTACGGATTCAAATGTTAATCTCAATCAGAGACATCCTCACAGACACTCAGAATCACGTTTGAGCAAATGTCTGGGCACACACATAAATTTAGCCATCACATCCAGGAAGAAGGTACCAGTTTAGTACCCCTTGAATAAAAGGCTTGGGACCAGAAGTGTTTCTGATTTCAGAATATTTGTGTTATACTGACCAGTTGAGCATTTCTAACTGGAAAACTGGAAATCTGAAATGCTTCAACGAACATTTTCTTTTGAGCGTCATGTCTGTTCGAAAAGGTTTAGGGTTTGGAGCATTTGGATTTCCGGTTTTTAGATTAGGGATGCCCTTCTAGACTCAGGTCCCACTGGGCATATAACACAGGTGCCCTGAACACCTTCATCTGTGTTCAGCAGCTCTGCCTCCCCAGGATCCTACACAGGCCTTCAAGACATAACTCAGATGAAGGCCTCCAGGATGGCCCTTGTCACGATCACTTGTGTTCCCTTCAGCTCATTTCTTATCCTGCCATCTATAGTAGCTTAGTTCATTCTGTCTAGTGACAGTTCATTGTTTTCTGTTTGATTCTTCTAGTTCGGCGGTCCCCAGCCTTTTTGGCATCAGGGACCGGTTTCTT